TTTCCGTACACTTAAATATGAGAAATGTTAAATAACCTACAATAAATACTGAAATTTACTGTACGTAAAGCTCGTTTGTCAGAGTAAGCCTTAATAAATCGTACGCTATCACTTGACGATACAAGAAAAGCAAATTATTCAAAGCAAACTTTGTACAACTCAACTAAACACTTGTCAAGTAAGAGTAATGGCGAAATGAGGAATGTAAGAGGTGTCTCTCGTAAGAATTCGAATGTGTTCCAGCGTTTCCCAGCCAACTGATACGTGATTGGTCAGTTTTGCGCTGTGTATCTTTAATTTTCTCCGAGTTGAAAAATACACTAGTTTTAGCGGTTGTTTTTGTCCTTCACGGGTGTTTTTGGAGTAAAATAAACGGATTTTTTTCATAAAATCATTGACTCGTAAATATTTCCTGTTTGATGAATCAATACTGGTTTGGTGAACTTGAGATTCGTTTTTTTTTTATCAGGGTCGTTTTAAACACATTTACAAGCTTTGTCTTAGCGTTTATTTCGTAACTTTAATTCAAATGTAAGATATGGCCGCTGTGATGTAACATAAGCGCGTGTATACTTATTGAACATGACATATCATAGTGTATATCAATTTAAATAACTAGATCTGCCGTATCAAACTCCATATACTCTGCAAATACAAAAGTATGGTAACTTAAATTTAATGCTGAAATTAATAAAATGGCGCCATGTCATACTAATATTGCTTTAAAAGTCCATCCATTCACCTTTACCACCAGCAAAAACCTTTTAACATGTAATAATAACAGTCTTATTAATATTAATAGTCTTAGTAATATTCTGTTCTCCCTGCAGATTTTCTCCAAGAAGTCTCCTGTCACAACACACACATTTAGCCAATCTAAAGGCACTTTTTAGAGCCAACATCTATCTATCTATCTATCTATCTATCTATCTATCTATCTATCTATCTATCTATCTATCTATCTATCTATCTATCTATCTATCTATCTATCTATCTATCTATCTATCTATCTATCTATCCATCATTTTCAAAACTCTTGTCCATATATGTTACTGTCTCTGTTATGTGTCTCTAAATCATAATATCTGTTGTCTTTATTTTGTTAACTTTACTCTCTCTCTCTCTCTCTCTCTCTCTCTCTCTCTCTCTCTCTCTCTCTCTCTCTCTCTCTCGTAGAGCATGCTGGGAGTGAGTGCGTTGTGAGTGAGCGTGTGTGACTTGGGTGCTTGAGTGCCTTGCTTTTCAAACTTTTTTCCATTCCTTTTCTATATTCTTTGTTATATGGTGTAGTTTTTTTCCTTTTCTTATTGGCTTTGTTTTTTTTGTTTTCTTGTTTTTTTCGGGGGGAGGGGATTTTGGGTTGTAGGGGTTTTTGTGCGTTTTTGGGGAGATGGCTGGGGCAGGTACAGGTGCGCGGGGATTGAGCTCGCTCACGCGTCGTCACGGTGTGAAAGTGGCGTCTGCAGTGAGCGTGGAGAGCTGTTGTTTAGCTGTGGGTGAAATTGTGGGACATGAGAATATTTTGTCTGCATCTAAAATTAGTGGTGGGCAAAGCGAGGCTTCGTGAAACACTGAAACTATCGAAGCAAATGTGTCGAAGCTTCGAAACGTTTCGAAACACCACTCTACGGCGACACCTAGTGGTCATTTTAATTGTATTTCACTGAAACAGCTTCAGCAGTTCAACAGTTGAGCAAATTAGGGTATGAAACCCAACTTTGCAGCCCTGAATTTACAAGTGGTTTAGACGAGCGGTTAGAGTCCGTGACCACCATGCAGGAATAATGGGTTCGAATCCTTTATTAGCAGCTGGTAATGCTTTGTTATTGTATCGTTTTGTTTCAACATTGCTATGACATACGAATAAACACCTTGTAAATAAATTTGTATTGTTTTGTTCATAAAACAGGGTTGTTGCTAGATCAGATACAGTTGTGGCCAGAAGTTAACAATAATTATTTATATTATTAATTAAATTTCCCATTGTATTTTATTAACGTCTATCCAAAACCTAAACCCATCACAGTACTGTAAAAATATGAATTATTGTTTTAGTGTTACAAAAATGATGCTAAAATGATGGCATATCCGTAGCTGTATCCTATCTAGACTACACCATAAAACAGTAACATGATTAAAATATATAAAATCATGATTTTGTAGTATTTGGACTAGTCGGGATTCGAACCCAAAACAAATTTGTAACACAGATCTGTTGTGCACACGCACGGTCCACTAAGCCATACAAGACACAGTTACGTCATTGATCATGCCAGTCAAATGCAGATTCTCCGGGTCATGAAACGCCTCTGAAATGATCAATGCTTTGAATCGCTTTAGTCACGTGACCAAGTGTTTCGAAACACTTTAGTCACGTGACCTGGGTGTTTCGGATCATGCTTCGGTACAGTGTTTCGAAACACTTGCGCTTCGGGATCTCGACACTGTGTCGAAACGTCAGTTTCACGTCAGCCATCCTTATCTAAAATGAATAGTGCAATAGTAATCTTTTTAAGTACAGTAGAGAATGCAAACGAAGTGGTTCAAAGAGGAATCATACTGGAAGGAGTCCTTACTCCGGTTATGCCTCTTTCATTACCGTCAAAACGAGTCACTCTCTCGAACGTCCCACCATTTATTAGTGATGAAGTTTTAACACAAGCATTGTCTCGCTACGGTAAACTGGTCTCCTCGATTAAAAAAATTCCAATTGGTGGTGCTTCCCCTTTACTGAAACACGTTGTTTCATTCAGGCGCTCTGTTTACATGATTGTAAACAATGACGCTGATCTAGACCTCGCGCTTAATTTCCGAGTGGATGACTTTGACTATGTGGTGTTTATTACCACCGACAAGATTAAGTGTTTTGGCTGCGGAAATTTCGGTCATTTGGTCCGTATTTGCCCCAACAAACAAGAAGAAAGCAATCGCCCCGCTAATGTGAGCGACGCAGCTAATGGTGACGAACAACTGGCCGATGAGGCCGCCGAGGTGGAACCCGCGGTAGTGGCAGCGACCGGGCATGATGGCGATCACAGTGTGGATCGTATGGAGAATGAATCGGTTTCAGTGGAGGTGGAAGCACAAAATGCAAAAGAAGTTGATGACGAGGAAGACAAAGGTGAGTCAAGCGATAAACAAAATCTGGAAGTTGTTTTGAGGGATGTTCGGGAGGTTGATGATATGCAAAATGAAACAGACGTGGAGAAAACAGTATTTAAGGTGCCATTAAAAAGGAAAAAGTCAGACAGTGTGCATGGTTTTCGGCAAGTGAAAAAAGTAGATATGGAAGATGAACTTGAGTCAGAGAGTGACAGCGAGCTATCTGATTCAAGTCTTACACTGTCTCAGAGTGAGTTTTCTAGTCGCAATTATGGAGTAGATGATATTAAACTATTTCTAAGGTCAACAAAGAACAAGAGGGGAGTCTTAGTAAATGAATACTTTCCAGATGTTGAGCAGTTTGTGGATAAAGTTAAAGGTTTTATGGCTGAAGGTTGTTTCTCCAACAAAGAAGTGTATCGATTGAAAAAAATAGTGCGGAAACTCAATGCAGACCTGAATGATGGAAGTGAAAAAGCATAACTTTATGAAGATGAATCACAATAGTTTGTGTTTCCTTTTCTATTTATGTTTGACTATGGCTGAAGTGTGTATAGCATCATTAAATCTGAATGGTGCACGAAATTGCAAAAAAAGAGCTGAATTGTTTGGGGTTATTAAACAGAAAAACATAGATGTTATTTTTATTCAGGAAACACACAGTGACTTTAAGAATGAAGTTGATTGGATGCAAGAATGGGATGGAAATGCTGTTTTTAGTCATAACACCACAATCAGTGGTGGAGTGGGCATTTTATTTACAAAAAAATTTTGTCCAGTATCTTTTCAAGCAGAGGAGATTGTGAAAGGAAGACTTTTGAAAATAAGAGCAATCTTTGAAAAATACATTCTCATTTTTATATGCGTTTATGCTCCAACATCGGCAATAGAAAGATTAGTGTTTTTAGATACACTTAATACTGTGCTCCAAAAGTGCAATACTGAAGAATATTTGTTTTTAGGAGGAGACTTCAACTGTACAGAAAGTCATATAGACAGGAACCATATTGAACCACATATGCCTTCACGTGAACGTCTCACTAAATGTATTAATACGAATGAACTAAGTGATATTTGGAGGCATTTTCATGAAGGACAGAGACAGTATACATGGGTTCATGCTCGTGATAATTTTCTTTCTCTTGCGAGACTAGATCGATTTTATAGTTTTAAACATCACTTGAGCATTTTTAAAAGCTGCATCATTTCTCCAGTCAGTTTCTCTGATCACCATATGGTTTTATGTTCCTTTTTTTTAAATGAAGTTAAGCCCCGCAGTGCATATTGGCACTTCAACACCAATCTACTATGTAATAAGGATTTTAAAGAAGTTTTTAAGTTTTTTTGGGAAGATTTTAGAAAAACAAAAGATTCCTTTCAAGACTTAAATCAGTGGTGGGATTTTGGGAAGATCCAAATCAAACAACTGTGTCAACAGTACACTCGTAATGTCACCAAAGAGTTAAATAGTTCCATGAAAGCCTTGGAGACAGAGATAATCAATTTGCAGATTTTAGCTGATTCAACAAACAATCCTAATTGTATAGAAACAATTTCAAATAGAAAAACTCAGTTGGCAGACCTACTGGGGTTGAAAACACAAGGGGCTTTAATTCGTTCACGTTTTTTAAGTATTGAACAGATGGATGCACCATCTAAATATTTTTTTAATCTTGAAAAGAAAAATGGACAAAAACGTACTATTCATGCATTACGATCTGAGATGGGGGAAATTTTAATTAGACCTGAAGAAATACGTAAAAGAGCAAACAGTTTTTATGAAAATTTGTATAAGAATGAATTGGGTGCAGAGTGGGACTCAGAGAGTGCCTTTTTTAGAGGTTTAAATCAGATGACTGAGGAGGCAAATGCTGAGATATCTGGTGTTTTAAGAATGG